CATGCAAGCTCGCCCTCACAAGACAGCTGGACAAAGCTTTCACTTTTTTGCCTGCTCGCCTCAAAAGTGGTCTCGGTAGCCAGTGCTGGCGTCCAAACTTCGAGCACGAACCTTCCCACAGCTGCTGCAGAGGACCAGTGAAGTATTCCCAAGCAGAAGCCAGATCCGTATCCAAAGAAAAAGGGTCGTCAGTCGAGAAGCTTCCACTTTTTACAGGCGGCCACAACGGGGGCGGACGTGCGCCGCGACTCAGCTGTTGGTAGCAAGGTCCCGCTTGGCAAACAAACTGGCAAGAATCACCTCAAGGAGCGCGCTAGCAGCAGCAACGCTACGCCGACTCTCTGAAGGAAGGGCTGGTACAACTGACACTGCTGACACTTCTTGCAGATAACTCTCCAACGTTGTAATATGGCGTATCCGCATCCGCCACAAGAGGGAACTGATTTCAGAACCAGCTTTGTACTCTCTGACGGCTCCCCCACCTCGCAAGCCACCAGGTAGCAGCTTGGCCGACCGCGGTATCCCCAAGCAGCAGAGCAGCTCATCCCATCGTCTTCGGAAAGCTCCTGAGGAACCAGGGTAGAGCTCTTCATCCGCTACCAGGGGTCCGAGGGCAGCTTCGAGAAAACGAACTATCGTGGTCTCCTTCACACAAAGGTGCTGCACTTTTCCTGAGCCTCGAAATGCTGTCTTGGGCGACCGCACTGCCAAGTAGCAACCGGCACTGATGTCGCTCAGGGAGTCTGAAGGCAACAGCAAGTCCCGTCTCTTGGCCCGCAACGGTTCTCCAGCTCGTCCCAATCCGTAGAAGGCCAAGGCCAAAACAGAGCACCATCGAAACCAGTGGCGGAGCAGGCCCAAGCTAAACATAGCTCGCACAATTGCCTCGGGGATGGGCACTCTGTGAACAACCGGCACGACTCTTTCCCAGCGACTGACAAGGTCCCAGCCAAAAGACAAGAAGGGCTTGAGATCAAACCGGCTCTTTTGCAAGTACGCCATCAGGTGGCGGAACTTGTACAGTGGCTCACCTTGTTGGAACAGCCAGTCTCCGTAGGCTCGAACCAGCACACAGAAAACCATGGCATGACTACTCAAGGACTTACGTGCAGACAAGCTAAGCTCCCTCCTAAGCCAGCCCTGAAAATCCCCAAGCACCTGCCGTTGGATCTCGACCGTCCTGGCTGATACCAGC